GCTGTAAATAACATATAGTTTGTTTTTGATATATTTATAGTTAGCCGATTGCATTGAAACCAGATATTTAGAAGATCTAAGTCATTTTGTGCGTCTTTAATAACAGAGTCTATAGAATGGCCAAAGTAGAATAGAGTGGTATCATCGGCGTATAACGTTATGTCTCCCTTAAGCCCGAGATCTTTTATATTATTTATATATATAAGAAACAAGAGGGGCCCCAGAATCGAACCCTGAGGTATACCACAAGGCACAACCCTGGGTCCACTCTGTGTTTCACCGATCTTAACCACTTGCCGACGATTAGTGAGGTAAGATCTGAGTATTACCGGGTAATATTAGCGGTTCCCGTAATGCCAATGTCAGATAGTTTCTTTAATAATATGTCGTGACTAATTGTATCAAAGGATTACTTCGATTCGATTTGGAAATATAACGGATATCAGCCTTAGTTTAAAATATTTTTATTATTATCGTTTTTTTTTTAATTTTATAGATAAAGGTGATAAACGATTTATCCCCGATTAAGAATGAAAATGCGAATGCGTTGTCACCCATGAGAAATAAAATAGTCACCTCTTTCCAGTAAAAAGGGTCTCCAGTTCTTTAAACTCATTATACGAATCACACTCGCAGTAGCATTAAACTGCTGTTTTACGCTGCTATTCTGTGAAAGCGTGGTTTTCCCCTGTCGAGCCGACTTATTCCTGCCAAAACCATAATATGGCTGCAGTATGTCTATACCATGTATAAAATATAATTAACGAGCTTTGATGACCGACGATGGCATGAAATATTCTTATTATTATATATTAAAATCAAAGTTTACACGACTTTATAGGTCTTAGAGCCAAACTTTAGCTAGTTTAGTTTAGTTTAGTTTAGTTTACGACGGGCTGTTTTCCGCAACTCCACGTCTATGCGCGTATTTTGCGTGTGGGCAGGAATAATGTGATTATTCGAGCCATGAGATCTCTCCGAAGAAGCTCGACAGGCCCTTGATGTTGCATGCAACTTCGGGGAGTGATCCCGGCGTGCCGAGATGTTTAGCCCTGTATGGCCCTGTACGGCCCACGTGCTACTGAAATGTCCGGAGGTCGCTACCTCCGGACATTTCAGTAGCACGTGGGCCGCCGTTTCTTCCTCCCCCATACATGCCCTGCACAGGGGACTATCTGTAACACCTATAGTAAATAAATGTTTGTTAAAGGTGCCGTGTCCTGTGATAGCACTTGTTACTATCCTAATCTGCGGCTTGTTCAGTCTCATTAAAACTTTTGTTAAGCGACTGTTAATTTCAGGCAGGGCATCCCTAGCTTGTCTACAGTCTACTAGATTTTTCCAAAGCTGAGCGTGTTGATTAGTGAAGTGTCTACGTACCAGTGAACAAACGTTACCAAAGGGGATTGGTATGATTGGTTCCGGCCCTATAGTGGCCAAAGCCGATCCTCTTCTAGCCAGTTGGTCTGCTGCATCGTTGCCTCTGGATCCACTGTGTCCCTTTATCCATTGCAGGGTCACATTGTTGTTTTTACATACCTCATTTAATCGTTGATGGCATTCATATATTAGTCCCGAGTTCACCACATTGCATCTCAGGGCTTGGAGTACCGCCCTACTGTCGGTCAGTATTCTGATGGGGAAGTCATTAACCTTCCTAGCATCTATTGCTATGGCCGCTTGAATGATACCCATACATTCCGCCTGAAAGACCGTGTTATAGGTACCCAGCGGTGTGCATATGTGAATATTGAGGTCTTCAGAGAAAGCTCGAGAACCTACACCTTCATTTGTTTTAGAACCATCGGTGAAAATTCTAAGCTCTTTTGGGCTTAATCCTTCCGGCTGGCTGTTTTCATTTAACTGTATCTTGTATTTCTTATCGAAAACAAATTGTTTAGGAATCCTATCGTATTTGGCTTGTAGGATAGGAATTTTTGAGTGAATTCTATCAATTATGCCTGTATGAGGGACACTATTCTTACTCCAAAGATTTAGGGTCTTGAGTCTGATGGCAGCTAAAGTCGCTTCTTGTTGTATATGTAGATGAAGCGGAGTTAGCTCCAGCATCGCTTCTAAGGCTGCTGTTGGCGTAGTTCTCATGCAGCCTGTGGCAGCCATACATGCCAGTCTCTGGTAGCGCTGAACCTTTTTAATTATGGTGGCTTCATTTGTCTTGGTCCACCATACCAGAGCGCCGTATGTGATCATGGGCCGAATTACAGTTTTGTAAAGCCACAGTATGATTTTTGGCGTCAATCCCCATCTTTTGCCAATCATGTTTCTGCATTGCCAGAAAGTTATACTAGCTTTGTTGATTTTGTTTTCTATGTGTTTATTCCAGTTAAGTTTGCTGTCCAAGGTAAGACCTAAATATTTTACCTCAGAGGATAGCTGGAGTTTTGTGCTAAAAAGACTTGGAGGATGATAGTTATTCAGCTTTCGTTTTTGTGTGAACATAACTAAAACCGTTTTATTTGGATTGACGGTTAAGTCGTGTTCCCTGCACAATCTCTCCACTATATGGAGAGCCGCTTGGGTCAGGTCGCACACTATGCTTGCTGTCTTTCCAGAGACCAGTATTGTCAGGTCATCAGCATAACCTACTGTATAGAAGTGATTGTCATTTAATTTGCTGATGAGTTCATTAATGACCATATTCCACAGGAGAGGTGAGAGAACCCCACCCTGCGGGCAGCCTTTCTTAATTTGGATTGGTTGAGATTCACCAGCAATCTTTATTATTCGTGTACTGAGCATGTAAACTATCCAGTCGATCAGTGCCGGTTCAACTTTGTGTCTACCGAGTGCACCTTTTATGCTGGAGAAGTTCGTTCGGTCAAAAGCACCTTCTATATCTATGAAGGAACCTAGACATATTTCTTTGTTTTGGATGGCCTCTTCAATCTTTGTAATTACCTTATGAAGGGCCGATTCTGTTGATTTGCCTAGACTGTAGGCGTGTTGCTTGTCGTGTAGTGGTAAGTTCATTAGCGCCGACCCCCTTAATTCCCTTTCACACATCCTCTCCATCGTCTTTAGGAGAAAGGATGTGAGGCTAATGGGCCTGTAGGATTTAGGGTCAGTGTAGTCGCTCTTACCTGGTTTGGGTATGAATGTAACTTTCACTTCCCTCCATCCCCTAGGAACATATTTAAGAGCAAGACAGGCTCGCATTATGGCAGCAAGTCTGACTATTAGGGCTTTACCCCCCCACTGTAGGAGTGCCGGGAATATGCCGTCGGGTCCTGCCGCCTTATAGGGGAGGAAACTGTGAATGGCCCAATGGATTTTGTCCATCGTTACCACTCTCTGTGCTAAATTCCAGTCTTCTGCTGTTGATGTCAGTATGTCGTCATGCCGGTTTGCCTCCTGGGTTACGCAGCAACCTGGGAAGTGCGTTTCAATTAGGATGCGTTGGGCTTCATCCGGCCATGTTGAGTAGCTACCGTCGGGTTTCTTTAGAGACATGGATCCCGACGTGTTCTGTTTAGCTAGAATATTCCTAATCCTATTTGCTTGTTTGCAGGTTTCTATGTTGCCACAGAATTTACGCCACCCAATCGAGCGTCGATACCTGATACATTTTTTGTATTCAGACTTAGCTTTCTTATATAATAGCCAGTCTTCATCCATTGAGGTATTCATGGCCCTATTTAGAGCTTTTCTTACCTTCTTACGTTTTCTATCGAGTTCTTTACCCCACCACGGTTGTTTTACCTCGGCATGTCTTGGTGGAGTGATTTCTGGACATGATTCATGGTAGCTGTCTATCATGGCCTTAGTAACAGCTGCTACCTGTTCTTCTAGGAGCGACTGATCTGCTATAGTATTTATCCCCTCAAAATCCGCTAGCAAAGACGTCAGCCTATTTAGGTATTTTGTTTTATCTGTCTTGCGGGGATTTCTCCATGGTGGTGTAGAGGGGATATCGACCTGTAGTGCGAAGCAGATCCATCTATGGTCTGAGCATGAGGCCTCTCTCGACACATGCCATCCCGTAATTAGTTTGGCTGCTCCTTCTGTTGCAAGTGTGAGGTCGATTATAGTGCGACAGCGTTTGTTTATGAAAGTAGGTTCAGAACCTATGTTTAAAATGGTTAGGTTAGTACTAAATAAATATTCAACTAAAACTTTACCTCGTTCATTTGGTTTTTCCATTTATATGCTATTTTATGGCTCAAGTTAAAATAAGTCGGCCTGACCCCGGTAGGATCAAGCTTTTGTAATACCAGCGTAAATTAGCAGCTTGATGCTGCTCTTTTTCAAATTCTGATTGTAAAGAACCGGAGACCCTTTTACTGGTAACGACGCTCAATCTCAGTTGAAGGATTGAAAACGGATCTAAATTTAGATTCTTAATAAATAATAGATTTAGGTGGCTATTGGGCCACTATCTCCTTTTTTTTCCTAGACATGCAGGTTTTCTCACGATGGTTTTCCTTCATCACTGAGCACGTGGTAAATTAGCACTTAAAACTGCACTTAACAATTATATTGGGGATCGAAACCGGGTTGTTTGTGTACTTTACAGCGATAGCTTAGCCCTTGGACTACCACTGTATCGTCCTAATAATATATGTATTTATGTTTGTATGTGTATATGCTTTATGTAAATATTGTGCCCCGTACTAGGTGTACTAGTAAAACATGCAGGAAGTCGATGGATGCACCTGGTTGGAACCGTATTATGTGACATAACTCGGAAGAGGCTCATGTAACAAAATATAGGAAAGAGAACAAAAATATCAACTATCCTTTGAACTGATTTTTACCTGTATGCAGTGCAACAATAAGGCTTCCACCGGTGGTCGTTGGGTAAGAAAAGTGTAATGTAGGTATATAGATTTAGGTAGCCGGCACGAGATTGTCCGTGCGGCGGCAGTCGGGAATTAAACGTCTTAGCGAACGCACGGTGTATTATTTAAAACATTACAGTGGTGACGAGGATAGGATAGCGTTGAATTTGTGCATACGTTGTTGCGGTAGTAAATATTAGAATGTCGGTAGGGAAAATCGGTGAATTTGATTTAAGAAATGGAGCATGGTCGTCGTATGTGGAAAGACTGGAAATGTATTTCTTAGTAAATCAAATAAAAGCTGAATTAAAATTACCCACACTAATCGCGGTAATCGGCGATGAAGCATACGAATTGTTGGCAAACCTAGCAAGTCCAAAGAAACCATCCGAACTATCGTACGGTGACGTAGTGGAACTCCTACGTCAGCATTTACAACCGACACCATCCGTGCACGCTGAGAGGTACCGATTCAGACAACGCAGGCAGGCTAGCAATGAAAATATAGCGAGCTACGTCGCGGACTTAAAGAAGCTGGCACGTCATTGTAAGTTTAAGGAGGCTCTTAATGAGAACTTACGAGATCAATTTGTTTGCGGGCTGCGAAGCGACGTCATTAGGCAACGGTTGTTCGCGGAGGATGAGTTGCTACCATACACCAGCGTAGTCAAAATTGCAACATCTCTCGTAGCAGCGGAGCGGGACGCGGCGGCAGTGGAAGGTGCTACTACAACGGGGAAGGATACCAGGATTCAGGAATTGACGACGGTGCATGCGCTCACACGTGGCGGGGCGTGGCAACGCGGGGAGCGGATGCGGCGCGGGGGCGGCGCGGGAGAGCGGATCGTCGGAGCAGCGGCGAGAAGCGGCGCGGGCGTGGCGCGCGGGACGGTGCGCACGCGCAGTAACGCACGCACCAATTTTGCCGGTGACCCTGGGGCTGGGGGTCATCAGTTCAATTGCGGAGGCTGCGGAGCGACGGATCATGAGTATTCGAACTGTCGTTTCCGGGTCTATATATGCAGCATGTGCAGACGCCCGGGCCACCTGCGACGCGTGTACCCAGACGCGGCCGGTAAGACACGGATAAAACAAACGGCGGCCCCATTACACTATGGCGGGGCAGACGGAGCAGTCGAAAACGAAGAAGTACCGGAGGCAGACTTCCACCATCTATGCCTAAACGACTACCAACCGGTGAGTTTACCCGTAATAATTAACAATAAAACAATTAAAATGGAAGTGGACACGGGTGCGGCTGTGTCATGTATTAATAGGCAAACCTATGAAAAGTATTTTAACCATCATCCAATTAAAAATAGTAAAATAGTGTTAAACTGTTATGATGGCTCCAGAATAAACCCTTTAGGTATAATTAAACCGGTCGTCCGCCTTGCGGGCCGAACCAAACGATTAGAATTATTTGTTATCGAAGGGGGCACTACATCATTACTCGGCAGACAATAGTTAACGGAATTAGGCATAAAAATTCCCACATTTAATAATAATTGTCACCATTTATCGAATGAGAAAGAGTCTATGTCAAATGAAATAAAAAAAAAATTTTCTAGGTATAAGGAACTATTTAGCGGCGAGCTCGGGCGGTTCACGGGTGGCAAAGAGCCGTTGCGGGTGCGGGACGGGGCGGCGCCGGTGTTCCACCGCGCACGGCCGGTGCCCTACGCACTGCGCGAGCGAGTCGACGCGCAGCTCGACGCAATGCTGCGGGACGGCATCATTGAGTCCGTCGACTGCTCCGACTGGGCCTCACCGATTGTTCCGGTAAATAAAGCGGATGGCTCCTTGAGAATCTGTGCTGACTATAAAGCAACCCTTAATCCGGTATTGCAGATTGATCGATATCTCTTACCACGAATTGATGACCTGATGGTAAAATTGAGCGCGGCATGCTATCATTCCAAAATAGATTTATCACAAGCATACAACCAGATCGAGTTAGATGATACAAAAAATATACAGTCATAAATACACACAGGGGCTTGTATAGGTATAACAGATTGGTCTATGGCTTGTCGTCGAGCCCGGCAATATTTCAACGTATAATGTGTAACGTACTACAGGGGATACCAAACGTAGAAATATTTTTAGATGACGTCATCATCGGAGGGAAAACTAAAGACGAACGTTTAAAGGCTCTGGAGATAGTCATAAGTAGACTACATAAATCGGGTTTCAAATTAAAAAGTAGTAAATGTGTATTTCTAGTGGATGAGGTGAAATATTTGGGATATATTATAAGTAGCAAAGGCATTAAAACCGATCCCTCAAAGGTAGAAGCCATATTAGGGATACCCAGGCCGACTAACGTGACAGAGTTGCGGTCGTTTCTAGGTATATTGAATTTCTATGGCAAATTCATAAAGAATATGAGTGATATGTTATTTCCGTTGTACGATTTGCTTAATAAAGATAAACAAAGGTACTGGTCATCGGATTGCGAAACATCGTTTACTCAAATTAAAAAAATACTGTCCAGTGCCGAGGTACTAGCGCATTATGACCCTAAGAAACATTTAATTGTTACTTGTGACGCAAGCGCGTGGGGAGTCGGGGGCGTCCTTTCCCAGGTAGATGACGAGGGCCGGAGCGAGCGGCCCATAGCTTTTGCATCGCGTTCGTTAAATAACGCGGAAAAGAATTACTCCCAAATACATCGTGAAGCGCTGGCTATTATTTATTGCATGAATAAATTTCACCAATATTTATACGGGAGGAGTTTTACATTATGCACCGACCACAAACCTTTAGTTTCCATTTTTGGCCCGAATACGGGAATACCGACCATGAAAGCTAGTCGTATGCAGAGATGGGCAATTATTTTATATACTTATTCGTTCGACATCGAGTATGTCCGTACAGATGATCCGCCATCACACTGCGAAATTACTAATCTTCAACCTTATTGGAATAGACACAAAGAATTATACGAGGAGCTGGGCTGTATAATGTGGGGTCATAGGTTAGTAGTACCGGAAAATTGCAGGGACAAAATCTTGACTATGATTCATGAACCTCATATGGGAATAGTGAAATCCAAAGCGCTGGCTCGAAGCTATGTATGGTGGGCCGGCATGGAGGAGGCGGTGGAGCGAGCGTGCCGAGAGTGTATAACCTGCGCGGCGCAGGCGGATGCGCCGGCGCGGAACTCGCCGCGAATGTGGCCCAGCATGGCCTTGGAGTCGGCTTCATTTGGATTTCATGGGTCCCATCGCGGGAAAAATATATTTGGTAGTAGTTGACGCCATGTCGAAATGGATTGAGGTTCATAAAATGACGAGTATCTCTGCCAACTGTTTAATTGACTGCTTAAATGAATTATTTAGTAGATTCGGCTTACCTCGACAAATAGTAACGGACAATCTCGTGTAATGATGTACAGAGATGAAATAAAACACAAAGAAACTGAAATAACGATCTCGTTTATACCTACGAGTGTGTTTGAAAGCGTTGTTTAATTATTGAAGAAACAAAATTTTATTGCCGTTGTCATTTGATATGAGAAGTCATTAAACAGTACGCAGTTAAAGTTTCATAGAGATTTGAAATTCGATCTTAAAACTCATTATGAAGCACACAAAATATTGTGTTACATCAAACTTGTAACAATATTGAGTAATAAAAGCTCAAAATATTTTTTATAATTGCATTTAAAATACAATTCTAAAAACAAATCATTACCCCATTTCGTCCGTGGACTATGAGAAATGCCAAGTAAATCAAATGGTTTCCTATAGATGTCGGTGTAACCATCTCATTTGTGTCAGACGTAAAACAACCAACCGGGAACAGGTAGTGACGTTATACGTGCTCATGTCTGGTACTGCCATTGAAAATTCGCCTAAGAATGAGGATTAAGGTGTGATAAGTGCCCCCTATAATGGGACAGACGTAAGTGGTGGTAGGTGGTGCACTTCTTTCCTGCCTATGACTCCGACTGTGTATCTAACGCCCTCTTAACTAATTATGCTGTAAAATAGCAGTGCTTTCACATCTGTGTTTCGGTCTAAAAGCTGTAAAGACCCGGTATAGTTAAAGGTTGTTAGATATTCCATTTTAGTCCTTAGAGGTCAGAACGTATCTGTAGTCTTTTATTTATTTAAAGTTGGATGCAGGTGTCCATGGACTACAGTAGCCACTTACCATCTGGTGGACTTGTTAGTTTGTTAGTCGCTTCAGTTTATGGTAATTAATAGAATAAGGCGTTACATTGCAGAAATCCATTATATTAAATTTAGTAATAATTACTTTGCTTATATCGGCTTAAAGAAATAAAAAGATGTGTCTTATCTAGTTTGAAGTTTTTCAAACTAGATAAAACACATCATTTTTTGAGAGTTCTACACTTAATGGTATTATCGTGAGTTTTGTCGCGATGTGCGTCGGTGAAACTTCATCATCATCATCATCATCATCATCATTACAGCCCTTCACAAGTCCACTGCTGAACATAGGCCTCCCCCAAAGAAAGCCACAAAGCACGGTCCTGAGCCATCTGCATCCATCGACTTCCTGCATATCTTACCAGGTCGTCACTCCATCTAGTGGGGGGACGCCCTACACTTCGCCTGCCGGTACGAGGCTGCCACTCGAGAACCTTTCTTCCCCATCGGTTGTCGGTTCTTCGAGCTATATGGCCGGCCCATTGCCACTTCAGCTTACTAATCCGTTGGGCTATGTCGGTCACTCTGAAACTTGTCGGATGGAATTAATCCAAGCGTTTACTCAGAGCACTCCCCGTAGTAAATGTAATATAAAAATAAACACGACATTGATTTGTTACAAATACCTATACATAACAATTTATTTCTTAAGCGAGTTCAATGGAAGAAATTGCGGAGGTAATAGACCGTGATCCGTAAGGCTTTATTTGCCTATACACCTCATCGTACCCGAGGGAAGTGACTGTGACGTTTATGTTTACTTCGCGCGAGATTTTCAGGTAAACTACGTGGAAATTCACCCGTATAGCTTTTATTATCAAAATTGTAATAAAACTCGCTTCCTTATTGTAAAGTTACGTTGTATGAACTCATAATAAATAACACTTTCGCTTCACTTTATAGATAAATTTAGATGACTTCGAAAAAAGAGGACGTTCTAAATTCAACTGTATTTTTTGTATATTTATAATACACGAAACTTTTGTCATTTGTAAATCAAATTCAATGACTACTTCTTTATTAATAATGTTTTACTGAGGGACGGTCTCATATAAATACAAAGAAAAAATTCCGCCCCAAACAATATAGTAGAATGACAAATAGAATGTCTTATAAATGTAACTATTTAGAAGATATTCTAGTTGTTACCTTAAGATTGTGATATTTCTTAGTCCACTCAAAATGTTCTTAACACTATACTTTAATTAAAAGTAAAAGCAGACTTATAAAACCTTTGTAGTCGGGGCTTTCATTTATCTAGACAATGTTTTCGCAGCCATTTCTGAAGCTATAATTTGTTATCTTGATTTTCGGATAAAAAACATCGAGCAGGAAAAAGTACAGGCGCATCTTTGGAGAAGGGCAGTCCAGCAGTGAACTTAAATACGGTTACTAATAAAGATAACTTGATACTCACGATAGAATAGGAACGCAAATTACCATACCACAACTAATTATATAATAAAAATGGAAATCTATTACAATTTATTTATACGATTCATTAATTTATTACAGTTAAAATATTCAACTGCTAAACAAAGGCGTAATAGATATAATATGTGTTATAATTAATAAAAATAAATTAATTTGCAAAAAACATGTGTTTATGCCCAAATTTGGTTATGTTTCAACGCCACCCAATTGCGTTCGAGCTGGTGCCTCACCCGATGGTATGTAGGTGAGATAAGCGCTGAGGTGGGGCGGCCCGTGCGCGGCTGCGTGGGAGTCAGTCGTTCGACGCGTGAGCGAAGCGTCGGTGCCCCGCCGGCAACGATGCGGGGAGACCGTCATGCCCTCTTCCCTAAACTCACGGGCCCTTCGTGGATCTAGATAACTAGATGAAGATATCGATATAATTGGGTCGTCGCGTTAGTGCCTTTTGTGTTTTGGTTGCCTAGTTAAATTAATTTGCGTGTCAACGAGGCGTATTTTGACTCTGGCACGACGTGTTATTCTGGTGCCGAATTTATAATTGTTATAAGTGAATCCGGGACATTCAATGTCGAATTTTGTGCTACTGTCCTTGCCGTGTCGGATATCAAGTGTTCAATTCTGCGATGAGTGTGGAATTAGGCGAATTGAAGCTAGTTAAATGTACAATGAAGCTAAGAGACTGAATAGTGACAGTGAAGAAAGAAGTGGTCCGGCGCTGAAGCAGTCTGGAGCGATGCAGCATTTTGGAGCAGCCTGGAACTCGGCCGCTGCTGGTTGCCTATGCTTGCCAAAGCCCCACACATTCACACCTCACTGTACACGACTCGCTATCTACCATTACACACACTCACG